TGTCAAAAACAGTGTTGCCAAAAAGATACTAGGAAAAAAATCACCCATTATTACAGTAGTAGATGGTGGAACAATCAATCATAATTAAAGACCTCAAAATAAAATTATAACAAGATTTAACTTATTAATAGAATAATTTAGTTCAGATTAATACGCCTGGGGTGCTTGATATATTAAATGTTACAATCATTCTATCGGCAACTATCTATGAGAGGAAAATTATGAACTTGTAGTAAAATACACCCCACGCTTTTTACTCTGACTTGATTTAATCTGTTAATAGCTTAAATTTCATTATAATTTTATTTTGAGGTCATTAATTAGGATTGATTGTTCGACAGTCTACTACTGTAGTATATAAACCCTTTGTAATCACTACTTTTCTACTATTCAGTTCCGAGTTTTTAGTTTTTTAAAACTACCATTTATTTCTATTTTTTAGTTCGATTTATCAATTATTCTTTTGTGGACATGTGGTGTTGAAATGTCTTATGAATCATTTCGTAATCTAATCATTTTATTTAAAGCTCCACTTTTGCATGGGGTTTCTCCTGTTAACTTAGAGCAATCAAGTTCTTCAATCCGAATACCGTCTAAAGACACGTTCAAGCGCTACTCCAGCAGCCTAGATAAATGACTGCATGACCGACTGTACAACCTTGCATCTTGTGGACGGTCGAAGTCCAACTCAGGATTATTTGCAATGAACAAGGTGAGAATGCACTACCTTGAAAAAGTATCTGCCTCCATGTTGCTGTGCCGAGTGCCCAAACCAACAAAGAGAAAGTCCGAAACTGCACGCATGCGCAGATCGCGCACTAGCTCTATCTTTTTTACTCTCCTACAGTTTCAGATTAATCAAACTTCTGGAAATTGGTGAACATTATGCTCAAAGATGCTGTTATATACATACCCACAGACCAAGCTAATAAAAGGGTGTTAATATTTTAATTTTTTCTATAAAATGAGCCCAACTGCAAGATCTAAACGCCTATTTTCAGGAGCAATTATCCGATTTGAAAGATTCTGTTATGAATCCAAGTCATTTACAATGCCTGTAGTAATTGTAAACAGCCTGTGTTTCATATTTCGTGTGAATGATGTCTAATATATCAATCAAAAGTTGAAGTTATGTGGACGTTATATGGATGCCAAAACTAGAGAGGAAGTATTGTAATGACGAAAAATTTTGAAATTGAGTTATTGTTTTTTAGATGCTATATTTTTTTGAAACAAATCTTTATTTAATAGTCATTTTTTACAAATATTATAGAAAAAAAAATTCTCCAATCTGTTTTCACCTGCCTGGAGAAAAACAATACTTAAAGTGCGAATTTTAGCTACAATAAATTCAACAATTCAAGTGACCTTTGAGTGTCTTTACATAATTTCTGAATACGTGTTACATATCTTACGTTATTTGGTAGGTTGTTATACGTTTTACTGCATAAGTGACAGGGTTATTTAATCCTATATTGCTTCTAGTAGGAATTTGGTACAAACTATTATGTGATCTTGTTTCATGGTCATGCACATCATGTGTGATCAAAATGTTTGTATTACACTTTTGTTGGTTATTTAAAATTTTGAAGACCATTTTACATTGTTCTAATTTCAACAGCTTACCTAGTTTACAAACGTTCAATTCTGAGTACATAATATCCGTGTTGGCAAGTTCATAGTTGAACAAAATTCTTAACACGTTAAGCGCTACAGTAGTATCTGAAAATCCAGTCCGCTGGGCCAAACTGTTATTATTGTCAAATTAGCTTGTTTTAAGTTTCGGTTTAATATTTTCACTTGACTTTTTTCTCAAAACCTATGATGTTTTTTGATTTTTTTTCTGAGGCACTAGTTGTATGTCGCGCGGCCCACAGACCAGTCGGGCCGCGTGGCACGTTGTTGGTATTGTAGGTCAGCTTGTCCAAATTGCTTTACTGCTTATAAACTATTGAATAGCAAATTTAGTGATGTCGCATTACGAAGCGGAGCAAAAAAGACTTGAACAATTATGGAATGAACTACTATCGGGTGAAGAGAGTGAAGAAGGAAATAATGAAAAAAGTGATGAGCATGTACGAGGGATGTCTTTTAAGTTTTGCATATGGAAATAAAACAACACGGTAGCTTGTTTTAAATGACTTTATTGTTTTTCGAAGTAGTCTCCACGAAGATTAATACACATCTGTATGCGCTCGAACCAATTTTCGAAGCACTTATTCCACTCGTTTGCTGGCGGATCCAAAACGGCATCTTTGAATGCGTCTTCTGCTTCTTCTGGTGACTGGAACCTTTGGCCACGCAGTCTGCTTTTAATTTTCGGGAAAGTAAAGAAATCGTTAGGACTTAGATCGGGACTATATGGAGGATGGTCCAATAATTCCACGTTTTCTTTCGTTAAATACTGCCTTGTTTTTTGAGCTGTGTGCAAGTTTGCATTGTCTTGGTGGAGGATGATTCTTCTTTCGGGGTTGATTTTTCGAAGCTCGGTGATGACTTTTGGCAAACAAATGGTGGTATACCAATCCGCAGTAGCAGTTCTTTGCTGATTACGAGGAATTGTTGCAATATGACCCGCTTTTGTCACAAATATCGCGACCATCTGTTTCGAAACACTTCGAGAACGGATGACATTTGTTGGCTTTTCTTCACCTTGGAACACCCAAACAGCCGATTGTCGCTTATTTTCTGGTTGATAACAGTGAATCCCCAATTCATCACCACTAACAATGCTGTACACATTTTTTGAGTTTCCGGAATTGAAACGGTCAAGCGTTTTTTGACACCAATTAACCCTGGCTGCTTTCTGCTCTTCAGTGAACAGGTGGGATATCCAACGAGAAAGTAATATTCTTACTCCTAATTGTTCAAGTAATTTTTTTTGAATTGAGGTGTTTGAGATCTTCAAGGATGCCTCAATCTCGCGATATGTGACATGTGTATCTTCAATAATGAGTTTGCGCGCAGCATCGATGTTTTCCTGGGTGACTGCCGTTTTTGGTGCACCCACCCTGGAACCATCGCTAAGACTCACCCATCCTCGTTTGAATTCTCCATACCAACGAGACATTGTCGACTAAGCAAGGCATTCTTGTTGCGATAATTTTCTCTGAAAGTTGTAATAAATTATGGCGCGAAAATGTTCTCGGTTGAGTTCCATTTTTCTAATGACTTGGTGACACTTAAAAATTCACTATAGTGAGAACACTGCACGTATTGTTGTGAAACTTTGAATTTAAGTTTACTAAAGAGTGAGGTTAAGATTCAGTACTGATGTTCGATCCGCGCGGCCTACTGTGTTTCTATATGCAAAACTTAAAAGACATCCCTCGTATTAGTGGAAACAGACTCGCGCTTGCGTTGTATTGTGTGTAATCGAAATCTCAAAGAAAAAGTCCTGCGAAAAGATGCGAAGTAAAGGATCGCGTTCCAAATGGCAATGTTCTGCATGTAAGAGATATTATTGTATTAAATGTTTTTTTGAAGACAGTTGTGCCAAAAAATGTACGACCTAATGCATAAATATTTCTTTTTGTTGTTACTTTGTTTATTTGATCAGATGTTTCAATTCGTGCAGGTTAGTTCTCATTTGTGGTCTATATAATATTTACATTTGTCATATTTATCTGTATTACCATTTATTTATACCATTATTTTGTTTATTCCTGCCTAAGAGTTTGTCAATCTGTTTAGTTTATCAGAGTTCCTTCATATTTGTGTTCGTTAGAATATCCAAATTTACCATAATTTACTGAATTACTGTGTAATTACTTTGTTCAATTTGAATGAGAAGGTCTGATTATTTTATAAGCTTTACTTTTTGTTTTTGATTTGTAGAATATCCTCCTTTTGTAAAACTTTATAAACAACGTGTTTTTGAATGTTTTCATTTCCAATTGGGTATAATTTTGCATACAAGTAGGGCTGTTTCATTTCCATCTTGAAATTCCATAAAAACAGCAAAAAAAGTCAGAGTTCATGGACCGACATCAACGTCTGGTCCCTCAGGCCACGTACTCTTGGTTCCTGTAAGAAAATCACATCAGCGAGGCACACGTCCTACGTTACGTGGCCAGATATAATTGCAAGCAATGAGACATATCATATGTGTCACGAGGCCCAAAGTGCCAAATGAGGTAAGACACACGCATTATATCTCATGGCGCTTAACGTGTCAATATTCTATTTTGCAAAACTTGTGCTTTATGAGATTCAGTTTTACCACACATTCGCAAAATAGATAACATATATCTAAAGTTTCCCAAGAAAAATGCATTATTAATATTTATTTTACTTTTTGTAGTTAAGTAGTCTCTGCTTCTGTAGAAAAAAAAATGTTTAATGTGACTAAGCCAATTCAAATTCTCATCCATAATTAAACCGAGGTATTTGATGCTCGATACTTTTCCTACTATAACATTATTTATTCTTATACAAAAGTTGTCAATTATTTTATTTTTCTGTTTAAAAATTAGATATTTTGTTGTACCGATGTTTTAGTTCAATTGAATACAGCGATTAACAGCAAGATCTAAATTAACTTCGTCACGCAGAACCTGCTCATGATTTCCTTTATAGAGAAGGACTGTGTCGTCAGCACAAGTAGAATACCTTGCATTAAGATTGTCACTATTTAGATTTAGAACATATAGTGGACCCAAGATAAACCCCTGGGGGATACCATAGTCACTATATGATATGTAAATATCATGAAGAACCATGCCACTCATTTCCGTCTGTTTGTCTGTCGGTCTGTCCGTTAATTTTATAACCCCGTATAACTTGAGAATAACCGCTCTTCGGTTTTGATGAAATTTTCACACAACATTACCACTACGCCATGGACGCAAATGCTTTGTAGTTTTTGGAAATCGGTCCAGTGGCGGCGGAGGAAAAGGGCAAAATCAAACTTTTTTTGACATTTCAGACGATCTTGATCATTCCGCATAGTCATGCTGGGCCACAGTAAGTAATTAGGTAGTTGTTTTTTTTATTTATTCTTATCTTGTAATCAAATAACTCACCTGAAAGTAGACCTGTCCATGATCGACCCATCCGACGACCAAGTCAGCTCCAGCCATCCTGCCGTCCCTGCTGAATCCGAACCCGACGTACCCGGCGGTCCGCACCTGCAGTTCGAACGTGATCTCGTTGTGTCCCGGTCCCAGGGACCACAGCACCCGGAAATCCGGACTGAGATAAGCGGAATGCGACCATCGAGCACCGTGCACCGATTTTGACAACCAACACAACAACGCGCACAACACTGCGACAAAGGGCGGCGACGACATCTTGACGGCGAGGCTATATCGGGCGGAGCTAAGAGGACGGCATCTGAAAAAAAAACAATACTTATAAGTACAAAGAAACTGGACGATCAAAAATATACTAAGTGACATATAAATCCGAACATCCAGTTTAAATGGTTTTATTTTAATAAAAGTTGGTGAATGTATTTATCTTACTGTAAATAACAAGTGAAAAAATTTTCAGCCTTATCAGTTGGACATTCCGGTTTTTATACTGCTTTTTTTTAATTCACTAACGCTCTAAAAATGAATATTTCAGCCGCAGTAAAGAATCAACGTTGGCGGATTTTAGTGAGTTTGATAGGGGCCGTATAGTGGGACTTCGGGAAGCTGGACTTTCTTTTCGGGCAATTGCAGTTAGAGTGCAAAGAAGTGTAGACACTGTGGTTAGGTGTTGTCAGGCATGGCTTCGAGAAGGCCGTACGCAAAGAGCAAGGGGCACTGGACGCCGCCGTAGAACAACAGACCGTGAAGATCGCCGCCTAAGATTATTGGCCTTAAGGGACTGTTTCTCCACTACCAGGTCCATTGCAAATGAATGGTTTGCAGAACACGGAAAACCTATTGGCATGCGAAGTGTTTACCGACGAATGAGAAGTTTTGGCTTGTTTTCATACCGGCCATACTGGGTCCCTCCTTTAACTCGAGAACACTGACGTAATCGCCTTGAGTGGTGCAGACAACGGTCACTCTGGGATCAGGAATGGAACAGTATTGTCTTTAGTGACGAGTCTCGATTTTGTTTGGGCATGCACGATGGTCGTGCCAAGGTTAGAAGGCGACGTGGTGAAAGGAGGAATCCACAGTTTTTGTTGAAAGACATGTTCATCACACTGTTGGAGTTATGGTTTGGGGTGCTATAGCTTATGGTTCCACGTCACCTTTAATCTTCATCAGAGGTAACATGAACGCGCATCGTTATATCCACGAAGTTCTAGAACCCCATCTTTTACCCTATCTTGACACCCTGGCAGATCCAACTTCCAACAAGATAATGCCCGACCACATGTTGCAAGAGTCACAATAGACTTCTTTCAACATAATGATGTCACATTGTTACCATGGCCACCAAGATCTCCCGACTTATCCCCAATTGAGCACGTATGGGATATGATGGGTAGGAGATTGCTCAATTTGCAACGTCCTCCTCAGACTCTAGAAGCACTTCGAGAGGAGTTGGTGGTTGCCTGGAATGAGATACCACAGGAGGACATTGACCACCTGATCAGAAGCATGCCTGGGCGCGTTGGAGAATGCGTAGCACATCAGGGTGCATCCACACATTATTAAAGGTCAAAGGGCTTTAAAGCAGTGCAATCATTTTGAAATTTTTATCATTTACTTATTATGCTCCATTAAGTACTTATACAAAATTTTATTAATATAAAACCGTTTAAACTGGGTGTTCGGATTTATATGTCACTCGCGTCATGTATGTTGATATTATATTCGACAGCTATGAGTTTCCTTGTACCTAGACATATGACGGTAGGGTAGAATAAGTAACATTTTTTTAAATGGCTTTGAGTGACTACACTCATTCAGCTGCGAATAGTGGTATACGAACACACAAGGAGAATATGAAGATACCTCATTTGTTTACCACATCGCAGCATCTAATACCTAACACGCTTGGAAAGGAAGTGGGTTGATAAGTGACATTTTTCGCCCATAACACACTCAAAAATAAAAAGTTCGATTTCAGACTACTATTGAACCTATTTGTGAACTTCAAGACGTCTATTTTTTTCATTATATAATATTTACAGTATAAATAATGTATTATGCTTCAGAAATGATTGCCAAGGAATAGAGTATTTAGTGCTCTATGAACATTTTTGTTGTTTTTCGAACTTTGAATCACGTTTTTCCTACGAAGCATTCCACGAACCACATTAACTTTGATGCTCAGTGAATCTACTTATTATAAGCTTGTATATGAGTATTTATTTGTTTTTGTTCAGTGAGCGCATCAATCCAAAAATACGTAATATATGCTGCGGGACAGTGTGAGTCAGGCTGCCGAAGTGGAGGCGATGGAGCAGACTTCCACCCCTACCCCCACACCTCCGTCGGCGGAGGGAAGCAAGAAAAAGGAGAAGAGGCCACCACCACTCTACATCCACAAAGAAGAGCAGTGGAAGGAGGTGCTAAACAAGAAGGTGCTCTCCATCGAGAAACCCGCACGACTAACTGGTGCAGGTATTAAGGTCCAACCAAAGGACAGTGAAGAATATAGAAGGGTCAGGAAAACCCTGGAGGATGCCAAAATTGAGCACCACACATACTCCCTTCCGGAAGATAAGCCACTAGGAGTGGTATTAAGGGGAATGCCCATCATTACCACCTGCCAAGAGATCGGAGAGGACTTGGCAAGGCAAGGTTTCCACCCAAAGAGGGTGAGTAGGATGACCAGCAGAAGGACTGGCAAAGCGATACCGCTGATTAAAGGATTTCTCCCGAAAGAAGAGACGGAGATCTACAAGATAAATGCTGTTTGCCACATGGTGATCCAAGTGGAGGCATTAAGAAAGAGGATCGGACCAGGTCAGTGCTACCGATGCCAGCAGTTTGGCCATAGACAAATGAACTGCACGGGTGAGCCGGGAAAGCATAGAGACTGTAAGGTCCCTAATGAAAAGCCCGCGAAGTGCACCAACTGCGGGGGAGAGCATCCAGCAAACTTTGGGGGATGCCCAAAGAGGCCGAGTGCAGGGCCAAGAGACAAGAAGACGACAGCAAGGGACACAGCGCGAGCAGCGCCAGCACCCAAAACCTTAACTAGGCATAGTCTAGTACAGGAGGGCCGCAGTTATGCGAAGACAACAACTGGGGCACCTGAAGGGGCCCAAGCCGCTGAGGCCAGCAGTGCCAAACACAGCGACGCCGAGGAGCTGAGAGACTTTGCCATCAAGTACGCATCACAAGTGATGTCGCTGGTGATGAAAAATCCGGCTGCCAAGCAAGCGTATTTTGCTCATCTGGAGCGAAAATACGCCTAAAAAGGATAGCACAGACCGAAACTCCAAATAGGCACTCCAATAACCATCGCTAATAGGGGCCTGAAGATATTGAGTTGGAAGGTTCACATCGGTTCGAACAAGAAATATGAAATAGGCGAAGTCAATACTTAGAAAATCTGGTCTGCAGATTGGTTCTAAGTTGTGTCCTAAATGCATTCCGCGTGGCTCAATCTCAGAAGACTCCCACTTCAACAAAGAATGAGAAAACGTGTTTTTTTCGGGATCCAATCGGAAGTGTTGGCAGGAACGAAAAAACTCATTAAATAAGATTTTTAGGTATCTATAGGACCTACAACATGAGACCACACGTAAAAAGATCCTACTAATAACAAAAACGTTATGGCCGAAAAACGAGGCAAAATGCAGGTTTTGGCACTTGTTGGTAATGCGGCAATGGTTTATCGCAGACATTTGAAATTCTTCAAGTTTGTAGGATTCGTACTTCTAAATGACCGCAACAAAATTGGAGTAGATTGATCAAGTAGTTTTTGAGAATTTCTAATTGTTTATTTCACAACACCTGTTTTCCGGCCATCACTACTAGTTTACTCAGCAATATGCAGGGTTAGTCGAAAGGGCATTTCGTAGTGAAACTAATTTACCTTGCCGATATGAGTCGCTAACCATTCCGGAAGATAAATGTTATTTTTATGCAAAAAGGATGGGTTAAATACGAAATGTTTGAATTTGTTTAGAAGAAAAAAACGTAACCTTTGTTTTTCGCATAAAAATATCATTTATCTTTCGGAATGGTTTCTGATTCATATCGGCAACGTAAACACCTGTTTTGCTATTAGGTGCTCTTTGATCGAACCCTGTATATTGCTCAATAAACTAGTAGTGATGGCAGGAAGACAGGTGTTTTGAGATAAACAATTAGAAATTCTCAAAAAACTACTTGACCAAAATACTCCAATTCTGTTGTTGTAATGTAGAAATATGAATCTTACGGAGTTGAAGAATTATAAGTAGTAGCGTGAAACTATCGTCGCATTACCATCAAGCGCCAAAACCTGCATTTTGCCTCGTTCTTAGGCCATAACATTTTTGCTACTAGTCCCAAAAAACACGTATTCTCATTCTTGGTTGTCAAATAAAAGGTTTTCCCACAAAAACTGGTGTACCCATTTTATGAACAGCACAATAAAACCAGACTTTACAATTATTTCTGGGAAACTTGCTAATATGATTAGACTATAGGGGGTTTAAACAGCATTACAACATCTAGTTCGCTCGATAACATTTCTTGCTCTGATTCGCTGTAGGTAGCCTCAAGAGGTTTGATTTACTTCTAAATGGTACGTTCTACCGATTTAAAAAATTACATATCATTATACGGGTTGTGATGTCCAAGATCATTAGTGATATTTCATACAGGGAAAATGAACCTCCGCAGTGGCAAGGGCACTAATCATTTCATTCAAAGCTGTTTCATTATATAATTGTCTGTGGCTCCATCGCAATGACAGCTGAACGTATCGGATACATACATATGTTACAAGTAAAATTTGGTTTTAGCATCTCCGAAGAGACATCTGATTTAAGGTGTTCAATTTTCTAACTGGGTGACTTCGGTCAGAGAGTTTTGTATTAGGCAAGGAAAGGTATATTTTGGTATATGAATTGTTACTGTTATTGCAAAAACGGTTCCGTTGCCGTTTCCACTGATACGTCATGGTCACCTTAGTGGTTCAGACAACGTCTTTGTGGATAACGTTAGGAATGTTTACATTACTGAATATGTAGTACTGAAAAGCACTACTTACTGATGATTCAAAAAAAAAGAATAGATCATGTGACTTTAAATAAGCACCGTGTGTAGTACCTGAATCAATCGTTTTACTTTCTGGAATCTATCTTTTGCCAGCCATGGCAACCTTACATTTTATTTAATGGATATGATTCAACTGCTAATTTGAAATCTCTTTTGAAATAAGCGGCTCGGACTATATATACATG